ACTTACCAACAACGGATTAGGTTTTAGGGTTTAATCAGTACAGGATTTAGGGTTTAGGGTATAGGGTTTAGTGTTTAGGGTGTAGGGTACCACACTGGCCGGGGCCTGCGTAAAGCACTAAATTTCCCAAACCGCAAACCAGCTAAGCTTCGCCACACTGCTTCATGCAGTACATCCTTTCAACTCCGTGCCTTACCCCTAAACCCCCTGAAGCCCGAAAACCCCTAAACCCCCAACTCCCTAAACCCCTAAACCCCCAAAACCCCTAAACCCCTAATTAAATCCCTAAACCCACCCCTAAACCCCGAATAAAACCCCTAAACCCCTAAACCCCTAAACCCCTGAACCCTTAAACCCCTAAACCCCTAAACCCCTAAACCCCGAAAACCCCTAAACCCCTAAATCCCTAAACCCCTAAACCCCTGAACCCCTAAACCCTAACCCCTAAACCCCTAAACCCCTAAAACGCCTAAACCCACCATGGGACCGGATGCCCCTCCATTTCCTGTACCCCCCATCGAGGTCGACAACTGAGCAGCCATTCGGACAAAGTACCTCCCGCGGTGGAGGAAACGGCGGTGGGTGGGGGAAACGGCGGCTCGTTTGGCCCTGGCATCACACTGCTGGCTTTCGGCGGAGCTCGGGGGCACTCCGCGAGGCAAAACCAATGCCAAGCTTGCTGGCGGAGATACTCCAGGTGGCACAACCCCGACTGCGCCAAAGCCGAACGATGACTTGAAGCCGTCCCACAAGGATCTCCTTGGCCACATCTCCAAGCTCTGGATAGGGATCTTCCAACGCCCCATGTATAGCCCAAAGGAGCACAGCAAGGGCCCTCGGTAATGAACGCACCTCCACAGCTGACCGAAGCGCAGCCAAAGCTGAAACCCCTATACCCCTACACCCCTAAACCCCTACACCCCTACACAACTAAACCCTAAACCCTAGACCCTAAACCCTAAACCCTAAACCCCCCCCAAATCCCAGCTAACTCTGTGGCCCCAAGCCCACGCTGTCCCAGGAAGGCCCAGCTGACGGCAGATCTGGCAAGGCCACACACCAAAACCCCAACTCCCAGAGTTTAGGGTTTAGGGTTTAGGGTTTGGGGTTTAGGGTTTAGGGTTTAGGGTTTAGGGTTTAGGGTTTAGGGTTTAGGGTTTAGGGTTTAGGGTTTAGGGTTTAGGGTTTAGGGTTTAGGGTTTAGGGTTTAGGGTTTAGCATCTAGGGGTTAGGGTCCAGTGCTTGGGGTTTAGGGTGCAGGGTTTATGCCGTTCAGGGTGAAGCTGCACCCAACACAAAGTCCTCAACCACAAAACCTGACCCCCAACACACCCCAAGAGCCTGTCAACTCAACCTTTCAGACCTCAAGGGGGGCTCCCGCACCAGTCGCCCAAACATGCATGACGATCTGCCGGTTCACGGTTAACCCTAAACCCTAAACCCTAAACCCTAAACCCCAAACCCCAAACCCCAAACCCTAAACCCTAAACACCCTAAACCCTAAGACCAACAGCATCAGGTCGCGTAGGATCTTAGGGCCTTACCCCTTTTGAACCTCAGCCTCCATTATGCCCCCCAGGCTTCGAGCCGCCACCCAGGCAAGACGTAGAGGATGTTTGGGGTTTAGGGTTTGGGGTTTGGGGTTTGGGGTTTGAGGTTTGAGGTTTGGGGCGTAGAGCTTAAGGCTACTCAAGGGGCCTGAATATTTAGAACAGGGTTTTCAGGCTTAGGCACCACAAGGCAATACCATTAGTAACGGTTCCAACCCTAAACTCTAAACCCCAAATCCTAAACCCTAAACCCTAAGCCCTAAACCCTAAACCCTAAACCCTAAACCCCTATGGTAAGTGATTTCGGGATGGCTAAGGCCCGCTCTCTTTTCTCTGGGCGGCAGCTTCTCGGGGCAGACAATCCCGAAGCTCTCTACACCCGCAAACCTCCTAAACCCTAAACCCTAAACCCTAAACCCTAAACCCTAAACCCTAAACCCTAAACCCTAAACCCTAAACCCTAAACCCTAAACCCTAAACCCTAAACCCTAAACCCTAAACCCTAAACCCTAAACCCTATACCTAAACCTTAAGCCGCCTAGACCCTAAACCCTGAAATACCTAAACCCTAAACAACCTAAACCCTAAACCCTAAGCCCTTTAAGGACCTAAGGACCTACAGCCTGTCGAACCTGAACCCTGAAGTTCTTCAACTCAGCCGGGCGGGAGCCCAGCAGCAGGCAGCCAAGGCTCTGAAAGTCAGGGTTTAGGGTTTAGGGTTTAGGGTTTAGGGTTTAGGGTTTAGGGTTTAGGGTTTAGGGTTCAGGGTTTATTTAGGGTTTAGGATTTAGGGTTCAGGGTTTAGGGTTTAGGGTTTAGGGCTACTCTTAAGCCCTTTCAGAAAGGATGAAAGAGCTGCAGTATTGTCTTTAGGGTTTAGGGTTTAGGGTTTAGGGTTTAGGGTTTAGGGTTTAGGGTTTAGGGTTTAGGGTTTAGGGTTTAGGGTTTAGGGTTTAGGCTTCCGAAAATTGGGGTACCTTATTGGGCCCTTATTATACTGGAATCCTACTATTTGGGGTCTATTTTGGGGGTCCCCTATGTTCGTAAACCCTACATGCCATGACTCTGTACGTACGTACATACATACAACGCATAAACACAGGGTTTAGGGTTTAGGGATTAGGATTTAGGAGTCGGAATCGTTACTCATTGTATGCGCTTGCGGGTCCCTACATGGATGTGGCGCCGCCCCAGCCGCCCGACGCTGAGCAAGCGCTCGCGGTGTGATCTGTGACGAGATGGCTTCGCCACTCGTATTTTGCCACGGCAGGACATGACAGGAGTGTTTTACAGTGCCTACCCGAACTGCTGCAGAGAAGCAGAAGTCTGAAGAGGGTTAGGGGTTTAGGGTTTAGGGTTTGGGGTTTAGGGTTTGGGGTTTAGGGTTTAGGGTTTAGGGTTTAGGGTTTAGTGTTTGGGTTTAGGGTTTAGGGTTTAGGGTTTAGGGTTTAGGGTTTAGGGTTTAGGGTTTAGGGTTTAGGGTTTAGGGTTTAGGGTTTAGGGTTTAGGGTTTAGGGTTTAGGGTTTAGGAATTAGGGTTCAGGTTTCGGACCTCGGCGTCTCTAGCCACCAGTCCGAGCAGAAGGCATGGGGATGCCCGGCCCTTGCAAGCTCACCACGGGTGTCCAAGTCAGGGTTTAGGGTTTAGGGTTTAGGGTTTCGGGTTAAGGGTTTCGGGTTTAGGGTTTAGGGTTTAGGGTTTAGGGTTTAGGGTTTAGGGTTTAGGGTTTAGGGTTTCAGGTTTCGGGTTTAGGGTTTAGTGTTTAGGGTTTCGGGTTTAGGGTTTAGTGTTTACAGGAACGCATGCGTAGGGTTTTCGGGCTTACGTGCCGTGGACGGCAGCAGTGGTGTACCAAAACCTGTGGATTTAACTTCGACCAACCTATGCTTGGCTGCACTCAGGACGGTAGCTATAAATTAAACTTTTAGCTGCCTTAATAAGAAACCCAATAAACCCCGAAAAGGTAAGGATCTAAAGTTACAGTAAAGTACCACAAAGTATGGGTGATGAAGAACGTGAGCCGCAAGAACCGCCGCAGACCTCGTCGATTCGCAAAACTTACAGTAAGTTGAGGCAGCCCGCGTCACCTCACCATACAGCTCTGGCTCAAGATCGAGTTCGCCAGTCTTTCCGTCGTTCTTCTACAAACCGATCTGAGTCGGAAACCGCAACCCTAAAATCCTGAACCCTAAACAACCCTAAGCCCTAAACCTAAACCCTAAACCCTAAACCCTAAACCTTAAACCCTAAACCCTAAACCCTAAACCCTAAACCCTAAACTGAACAAGAGAGGTGTTGTAACGCTGTAAGCCCTCGCCACAAGATCATGCTCCAGACAGGTATGTCCTGTAGCGAGGTTTTTTTTGGGGGGGGGTCCAACATAGGTACCGCTATCTTGGGAAATTCTATTCGCATGTACTCCAAAAAGAACGATCCTAGCCATCAAAAGTATATAAAGGGTATCTGATTGCGAGAAGAATGAAAGGAACTTGCTAGCCCAGTAACCCCCTAGCCCTAAACCCTAACCCTAAACCCTAAACCCTAAACCCTAAACCCTAAACCCTAAACCCTAAACCCTAAACCCTAAACCCTAAACCCTAAACCCTAAACTGCATTGTCATAGTGGTACCCCTTTTTTTCCGTGGTTACTTTGATAAGGGAAGCCCTGAGCACAAAACGGGCAAAAGGGTACCGCTGGGTTGGTTACCCAAGGAATCAGTAGACCCAAGAGCAAACTGGGAATGAAAAGGGTATCCTTTTTGGCTGAAAAAAGGGGCTTCCAAACTGGAATACGGCCTACGCTGGGTCCTAGTGAAACCCGAAACCCAAACCCTACAAAAAAGGATGAGGGCCTACTTTGGGTCCTAGATCATGATGGTGTACAGGCTACCGCAGGCGCAGCCAGAGACACGCAGCTCGGCCCTGCTTTGCAGGCGAGCTGATCAGCAAAGGCCCAACCTCCCTTTAGGGTTTAGGGTTTAGGGTTTAGGGTTTAGGGTTTAGGGTTTAGGGTTTAGGGTTTAGGGTTTAGGGTTTAGGGTTTAGGGTTTAGGGTTTAGGGCTGCGTCTGTGGGGTTTATAGGGCTTGGGGTTTAGGGGCTTCCTGCTTTGGGGGTTTCTTCAGCTCAGGCCTAGACAAGCTAGCACGCTGAGCCGTAAATATTGGCCTTCTCGAGACTTCGAAGGCGTCTTGAGTCTGAAGAAACTGGCTTTTTGGGGGCTACGGCTTAGTTCTCTAGGATGGCCTTTAGCACCCTCTGAAAAATGTTCCTGAATATGATCCGGGATCAAATAAAATGTTCCAAGGGCCTGCCTATAGTAGCCCTAAACCCTAAACCCTAAACCCTAAACCCTAAACCCTAAACCCTAAACCCTAAACCCAAAATAAGGTTTTGGTTTAGGGTTTTAGGAAGCTTGGGGTTAGGGGGCAGCCCCTGCGTTTTGGCACCTCAGGGGGCCGGCTGCGCCTCAGGAATCCGTGGCGAGCAAGGAGGTTTCAGGAAGCTGGGTAGGGCGCGCTTACTTAGTACTTGTCGGGTTTGGGGTTTGGGGTTTAGGGTTTAGGGTTTAGGGTTTAGGGTTTAGGGTTTAGGGTTTAGGGTTTAGGGTTTAGGGTTTAGGGCCCTTCAACCCAAAGCCTTCAACTTACCAGGAGCCAGGGAAGTACATGACGTGCAGAGCTCGCTTCGGATCGGGAGGGGACGATGCACCAGGACCACGTGCATTTGTGGCCGACCATGGGGACGGTTTAGGGTCTAGCATGTAGGGTTTAGGGTTTAGGGTTTAGGGTCTAGGGTGTAGGGTTTAGGGTTTAGGGTCTAGGGTCCAGGGTTTAGGGTTTAGGGTTAAGGGTTAGGGTTTAGGGTTTACCCAATTGCCCACCCGTTCACCCTCTGCCGGCGCTACCTGCATGCATGCTCTTGGGGGCCGATGAGCAGGCCCCGGCCGAGGCGGGTCGCGTAGCGTTTAACTTAAGAGCGCCCGAACACCTGGAACTCTTAAACCCCTCAACCTGAATCCTACTCAGGTGGGCTTGATACATTAGGGTTTAGGGTTTAGGGTCTTTTAAGGTTTAGGGCCTGTGTAGGGTTTAGGGTTACGGTTTACGGACCGGAAACCCTAAGTTTCAAACAAGTAAACCCAGCAACTCAAGCAAAGCTGTTCCATGCAACCATCTGCTGGCGTCAGTATGATTATATGCAATTTCTATGAAACATATATATATATATATATATCATAACAAAAAGTAATGGCAATATTGAAGGAGAAGAAGGGGTTCATAGTCTGACGATTCTTGCCGAAGACCGGCACTGTGGGTTTGGTGGCCCAGGCGATCAAGGCTGGAGATCCGAAATACCCAACAATCAAAGCCTACAGCCCTGAGGCTACAAGCCTGAAATTGACTTGCTGAGCCAGGCCCTAGACCAGAACTAAGCGTTTAGGGTTTAGGGTTGGGGGTGTAGGGTTTAGGGTTTAGGGTTTAGGGTTTCGGGTTTAGGGTTTAGGGTTTGGGGTTTGGGGAAATGTACCTCTCGGAAGCCCCGAAACTCTCCAAACCCCCAAATCCCAAACCGCAGCAGCCTGCACGGGAACTGCCACTACGGGCTCGAGCGGGGGCGCGGCTTCTGCGCACGGGCAGGGCTGGGGTTCGAATTTCCCTGACTGTAGGGTTTAGGGTTTAGGGTTTAGGGTTTAGGGTTTAGGGTTTAGGGTTTAGGGTTTAGGGTTTAGGGGTTAGGGCTTAGGGCTTAGGGCTTAGGGTTTAGGGTTTAGGGTTTAGGGTTTCGGGTTTCGGGTTTAGGGTTTAGGGTTTAGGGTTTAGGGTTTAGGGTTTAGGGTTTAGGGTTTAGGGTTTAGGGTTTAGGGTTTAGGGTTTAAGTTTAGGGTTTAGGGGGTTTAGGGTTTCAAGATCCCTGGGTATAGGGTTTCAAGATTTCTGGGTGTAGGGTTTCAGGCTTAGGGCTTCGGGTGACGGCAGCTGGGAGGGGGGCGCCCGCATTTCCCAAATAAGGGCATACACAAGCAGTAGTAAGCCATTGACCCTACAGCCTGAACCCTGAACCCTAAACTCCACAAACGTTTGCAGTGAATACTGAGCACCTTACGTACCCCTCCCCCTTACACAGCCCTGGTTCCTCCTGAGTCCAAGGTGTTGAGGGAGCATGTAGGGTTTCGGATTTAAAGTTGAAAGGGTATATTCGGGGCTTGGGGCACGGAGGGACCTTGTATTGAGTTTCTGGGATTGTGGGGTGCTGTGGGGTTGGGGAGTTGCAGGTGTACGCTGTACGGTTTAGCGCTTGGCGGGACCCAAAGGCTGAGAGTCCGAAATCCACACCAACCAAAGCCTATGAACCCTAAACTTTCACCCTAAACCGCTAATTAAACCACAAAACCCCAAGACCCCTAAACCCCTAAATCCCAAACCCTAAACCCTAAACCCATAAACCCCAAAACCCCCAAACCCCAACACCTCCTTGACGAAACTGCGGCGGAGGAGGGGAGGCGGCCCGCCTCAGAACGCAGAACAGCTCTGGAATCTTCGAGCTTAGTGCCTTCTGCGCCTCATTCGGGATAGCTACGATCCCTAAACCCTGCACCCTATAAGCCCTGTCCAACCATGTAAAGCCGTAAACCCCGACTATTGTTGTTATTATTGTTAGTAGGAGTAAAAAGTAGAAGTAGAAGTAGAAGTAGAAGTAGAAGTGGAAGTAGAATTAGAAGTAGAAGTAGAAGTAGAAGTAGAAGTCGAAGTAGAAGTAGAAGTAGAAGTAGAAGTAGAAGTAGAAGTAGATAGAAGTAGACGTCGTCGTAGTAGTAGTAGTAGTAGTACTAGTACTAGTAGTAGTAGTAGTGAGTGAGTAAGTAAGTAACTAACTAACTAACTAGCTAACTAACTAACTAACTGACTATTACTACTACGTCTACGACTACTACTACTACTACTACTACTACTACTACTACTACTACTACTACTACTACTACTACTACTACTACGACGAATATTATTACTACTACTACTACTACGACTACTACTACGACGAATATTATTACTACTACTACGACGACGACTACTACTACTACTACTACTACTACTACTACTACTACTACTACTACTACTACTACTACTACTACTACTACTACTACTACTACTACTACTACTACCACTAAACCCAAAACCCTAAACCCTAAACCCTAAACCCTACACCCCAAACCCCAAACCCTAAACCCCAAACCCAAACTCCCTAATTCAGGATCCCGTCTGGCTTTCGCTTGCCCGAGCGGCGGAGCTGCCAGAGGCGGAGTGCTCGGCTCCTCCTGAGACGCGCACGTTTCAGGTTTTGTTTAGGGTTTAGGGTTTAGGGGTTAAGGGTTAAGGGTTAAGGGTTAAGGGTTTAGTGTGCTCAAATGAGCCCTCAAAGCGTTTATAGATCATATACCCTATTGGGGAATATGGTGTTGTAGGGTATATGACCCCCAATTATGGGCTTCATCTGGTCCGCAAGGTAAGGTATCCTCCGTAGGCGTCAACATCATGAAAGCCACAAGGCTGCTTTTTGTAAAATAGCACATTCTCAGCTAAGGTACTGACCTTAGACCCTAAACCCTAAACCCTAAACCCTATACCCAACCCTAAAGCCTAAAACCTAAAACCTACTAAGCCCTAAGCCCTAAACCCCAAATAATGTATGAACCTTGGAGCATTCCAGTGCACATGCGCCTTCTTCGGTGCCGGCGAGGGTGGCGGCGAGGGTTCTGATGCAGTGGCTGGGTGCTGTCGTTCAAGGTTTCGGTAAGGGTTTTGGGCTAAGGTTGGGGGCATACTCCGTATTACCAATCCTTAATCGAGGAACACCCTAGACCTTAAACCTTACACCTTAAATCCTTAACCCTCCGGAATCTGGTACAAGAAATGTAGGATTTTGGTGCTTGAGTGTACTCACGCCAGGAGGTACATCAGCGGGCCGAAAAAAGACGGTCCCCATGCCCTGAACCATCCGCGACCTCCTACCGTGACCCCGGGTGTGTTTTAGGGTCAGAGTGTAGTGTTTAGGGTTTGGGGTTGGGGGTTTGGGTTGAGGGCTGGGGGCTCAGGAATGCGGGTTTCGGGCTAGGCGCAACCGCCCAACAACAAAACATAGGTCCTAAACCCGAAACCCTAAACCCTAAACCCGAAACCCTAAACCCTAAACCCTAGACCCGAAACCCTAAACCCTAAACCCTAGACCCTAAACCCTAAACCCTAAACCCCCAAAATTGAGTAGGCCCTTCAGGCTTGCAGCTTTTCTCCGGACCCCTTCGACAGAGGTCCAAAAGCAGCACTGCTTCGGGAAAAGCACCCTAAACCCTAAACCCTAAACCCTAAACCCTCAACCCTAAACCCTCAACCCTCAACCCTAAACCCTAAACCCTAAACCCTAAACCCTCAAGCCCAACCCGTGGCAACCCTAACGAAGACCCTCCCGAGCCCCTGCCCCCATAACTTGTTCAGGCATGTAAAAAACAATATCTAGTACAAGTTTCACAAAATACATACAATTTAACATAATGTAACAAATTCAAGAAATACAACAAATGTAGCATTGTAAAAACATATATGTATAGATCTTATGAATAAAAACAAACTATATACATATGTATATATATATATGTACAATATTTCGTTTATTTATGTATTTGCTCATTGATCTTTTAATACAATAAAAGAGATTGTCGCGCCACGAAATATTAAAGATCGTGCTATATGGGGGCTTCCGAGAATAGGGGTAGCTTTTTGTCTTTTTTTTTTGGGGGGGGGTCCCTTTAAGTGGGTTCTATTCTATTTGGGGTATAAAAGGGGTAGCCGACAAGAGAAAAAAGGCTCAGGCTAGGCTCAGGCTACACCCTGAACCCTAAACCCTTAACCCTAAACCCCAAACCCTGAACCCTGAACCCTAAACCCTAAACCCTCAACCCTAAACCCTATCTTGGGAAGTACCCATCTGAGGTCGGAGCCCTTCTCCGCAGGCTTTTGCGGAGTCGGCGCAGGCGGCCTCGAACGCCGCACGCTGGGTCACGCTCCCACAGGGCACGAAACCCTAGACCCTAAAAACAATTAACCAGCTTCCCCACCTGCTCCCGCAGGGCCCGAAACCCTAAACCCTAAACCCTAAACCCTAAAGACAATAAACCAGCTTCCCCACCTTGACCCCTACCTGGAGTTCACGGCCTGCCATTGAATGCAGGTATGGGTTTTTACGCCATTGGGATGTTCCCCTGCGGCCATCTGAGCCACATCCCGGACTCCAGGGTGCTCGTAGAAAACACACCAGGAACTGCCGGGTTTAGGGTTTAAGGTGTAGGGTTTAGGGTTTAGGGTTTAGCGTTTAGGGTTTAGGGTTTAGGGTTTAGGGTTGAGGGCTGAGGGTTGAGGGTTTAGGGTTTAGGGTTTAGGGTTTAGGGTTTGGGGTTTTTTTTACTTAAGAAGACCCCAAAACATGAAAACAGATTCTTCCTCATACGTGCAAGATCGGCTGAGTGATTTCTAGAGGCCTGTGGTGCTGGGGGTTTATTAGGCTGCATGTGAATGGCCTGCTAAAAGCAAATACTGAAAGCAAACACTTAAGCTTGTTCGACAAAATCTCTTCGAATAGTGTTGGTGCATAAAACTTTTGCAATAAGCAACTTTATGAGTAAAGAAAAGCTCGATGTTTTTTAACATGCAAGTTCAACATTTCGCTTGTTGTGACAAACAGCTTTCATGTTTTTGCTTTCTCATTTTAGGAAAAATCTGAAATTAAACCTTGGTTTCTAAATTTAACAACTTCGATTCTGAACTTAAAACCTTGGTTTCTGGACTTAAAGCAGGCGTTTGTTTTTCAAAGCAACACAAAAAGCACATAAAGTTTACCCAACCTGAAAATGTTTTCAAGTATTACTACAAGTTTTTTGGGGTTTGGAATGTTCGCGTTTTTCCTACGATATTGTCTTACTACTTCATTTTTTTGCAGATTGCTTTTGAGTTGTTCATCTTTCTTGGCTTTTGTTTGTGGTTCTGCTTTTCAAGGGTTTTCATGCAAGCCTTCTTGACATCACCAAAATATAGCTAGGGGTTAATGTCCTTTTTTTTTGGGGGGGGGGTGCTGAAGCTACTAGTCGTGAACCTGGGAGGGAAGTGGGCTCCTTCAGGGTTTAGGGTTTAGGGTTTGGGGTTTAGGGTTTAAAATCCTATGAACTTCGTTCCTAACGCACAAAAATTGTGCTTTGGGTCTTACGATGCCTGAACCTTAAACTGGCTGGTTCTGGCCGATGTGCTGGGCAACGGTGATGGACTGGTCATCGCCTGTGAGCTGAAAGAATGCACGTAATGCCAGCGTACACAACCAGGCTAAACACACGCCACGCCTTCGGGACGACGGCACATGTCCCGAGTCTCGGCTGCGCGCCAGACCCAGCCTCAGCGTGACGTGTACAAGCTAGGACACACGCAAGGCAGCAGACTTGTTTCCGAGGGCCAACCCATCGACATCTCTGTGTGTTCACGGAGCTCAATTGCACGCAAGCGATCCTGCAGCGAGCAACACGCTGTGTCCGTCTAGCGTGGTTCCTCCGTATAGGCCATCAAGCAAGAAGCCACAAGGTTTGCAGCATCCTGGAGAGGTGCACCGCGCATGGCAGTGTAGAGCTCCTGACGCAGAACTTGCGCCTGCGCGTGCCTGCACGTGCTCTGAAACAAACACAGAGGAAGCTTGCCCGAAAGGAAAATAGGAGTCTGGACACGAACGCCTGTGGCTCAACCTCCCAGACTGCGTGGCCATTGTTGGCCAGAACGAGCGCCTTCTGAAGAACCTCATGTGTCGCATGACATGAAACCGGAAGCGAAGGCACTATATCGAGCAGAGCCGAGAAGACGACAACCTCGATGCGCGCCATTTCCTAGCACGCGGCAGGTAGAGGCACGAAGCAGCAGAGGAGCAGAGACTGCTGCAAAACCGAGGAGAGCAGAGGCCGCTGCAAAACCGAGGAGCAGACGATACTGCAGGACGAAGCTGCAGAATGCGAAGTCGTACACAAGAACGGTTGCTAAGTCTCGATCCCAACTCTGCAAGCACATGCAAAAGCAGAAGAAGCATGCTTCATGTCTGCAAGAAAGCGACAGCCTGCGCGAAGGTTTTCTTTTCAACTCGTTCTCTAGAAACGGCCACTGTGGCCAAAGTACTGCAGCGAATGGCAACACGGTCGCACATTTTTAGCCGGGGCGAAGAAGCCATTCGTGCCTCCTACGAGCGAGAGCCGAGCCGCCATTAGTAGGGAATGAGGGAATGTGGTAGCCCATAGAATCCCGTAAAGGGTACATATAGGGCCCTAACTCCCAGGAAGCCTGAACCCCAAACCCCAAACCCCAAACCCCAAACCCCAAACCCTAAACCCTAACCCCTAAACCCTAAACCCTAAACTCTGAACCCTAAACCCTCAACCCTAAAGCCGGTGGATCTCTGAGCTTCAGGCGGCTGGGCTACGACGGCTGGGGGCGCAGGCTCCTCCCGTTCCAGGATTTTTGGGTTTAGGGTGTAGGGTTTAGGGTTTAGGGTTTAGGGTTTAGGGTTTAGGGTTTAGGGTTTAGGGTTTAGGGTTTAGGGTTGCTTTGAGGTTTAAGGCTGAGGCTCTGGGATTTAAGGGCTTGGAGTTATCAAGAAGGTCTAAGCCCTAAACCCCAAACCCAGTCTTGCTCTATTCGTACAGCCCTAACTTCTAAGACTCTAAAACCCTCTAAGTAGTAGAATTGTTTTTCTGTGATTTCAACCATAAAACCATGTAGGGTTTAGGGCCTAGTGTTTTAGGGTTTAGGGTTTAGGGTTGAGGGTTGAGGGCTTCAGCCCTGAACATGCTTGGAAGCCCTTTTCACAAAGGCCTTCGGGGTTTAGGGTTTAAGGTTTAGGGTTTCGGGTTTGGGGTTTGGGGCCTACTTGGAA